AATTTCCGGCACCAATTTTAAGAGTGTAGAAAACCATTGCAATCCAGAACAATGTGAAAAATCCTCTAAACGGATCCTCATGTGTTTCCAATGTCTCCCGATCGAGTTGAGAAGTTCGAGGCTTGAAGGTTTCACCTCGCTTTGCTATCTTTCGTGATAATCGGTTCAGATCTTCATCATCAATGTTCGCTATGGTGGTCACGGTAATATTCTTAGCAGAACTATTTTTGTTAGGAGAAGTTGAAATGATGTTTTCCACGATTGTCATCTTTTCGACCTTGAAAGTGATAGAGCGAATGGTTAGTTCATGCTTTAGCCAGAAAACATTAAGTTCCTCATACCAGAGTCTTCTGCAACATGCTTTTAAATGATCTTGAGATGTGTTGTGTTCGTACAATTATGAGGGAAATGAATGATTAAGTTGGATTTAGGGAATGAAGCCGACAGGGTTTATCTATGACTTACAGTATATATATACGAAAATTGATGGTAAGGATGCAAGAGAAATGGAATATGCACATCGGTCGAAAGTTTTGCAGTTTTTGCACCCGCGGGGGTATATGTGATATGTCGATCTGTGCTCCGACGACCATATAGGCAAGTTCTACCGCACTCAATGACACGGGTCGTTTTTACGGTTCCTACATAATTGGAAGTCACGAGTACACACGCAACCTAAATATGTAACTTTAAGTGTTGAGCCCAACGAAACTTCAACCAAAATGCGGAGAAAGTTAATGAAATACCTATCGTACCCTACCTCCTTTTTATTCACATGTCATCGCCAATCCATCTAGGTCATTGAATTATAGATCCTTAAAATAGTTGTTTGCCTCGACTTTATGGTCAAGATAGTAATGCAATGGTCTTCACCATTCAAGTCATTGAATTATAGAACCTTAAAGTAGTTGTTTACTTCGACTTTATCGTCAAGATAGTAAGTAATGCAGTGGTCTTCACCATTCTATCCTATTCCTGTGAAATATAAAGCATCGGTATTAATCTGTGATTCATGATTGTGAATTTGGTAAATAATAATGGTCCTTGGTTTGCTTAGGTGGGTTTTTTTACATACTGTACGTGTATTAAGAAAAATATGACACGTTTGATTTTTTTATACTGGCCAGGGTGGGCTTAGGAAATGATCGTCGCATCGAATATGGCAGGTTTCCTTCTTCCAATCGAATTTAAACTGTATAAACAAATCGTAATGATAACAATATAAGCAACCAAAGTCTCATTATACAGTATTTCCTCGAAGTGATTAGCCAAATTTATTGGGACGAGCGAAATACACAGATTCCCTCTCAATGTGTGTACAAGTGACTATCACTGAAAAAAAAAAAAAAAAAAAAAAAAAAAAAGATGTA